GCCCACAGGCACTAAAGGGATCCCCTAAATAAGAACAATATGAATGTGCTATTAATTTTAAAGTTTATGACTGAGAAGTCCAAACATGATAGTTAGTATTAGATACCATGGTACAAACAGAGGTTTATTTATTTTTATTTTATTTATTTATTAGACCAGCACTTTGAAGCGGATCCAGTACGCTATTGGCAGCCAGGGCAGTGCCTTCAGCGCAGGCTGGATATGGTCCCGCCTGGTAAGACCCATCAACAGCCTGGCTGGCGCATTCTGAACTAGCTGCAGCTTCCGGATTTGCGACAAAGGCAGCCCCATGTAGAGAGAATTGCAGTAGTCTAACCTCGAGGTGACCGTTGCATGGATCACTGTGGCCAGGTCATTGCGGTCAAGGTAGGGAACCAACTGCCGCACCAGCTGAAGATGGTAAAAGGCTGACTTGACAGTGGCTGCCACCTGGGCCTCCATCATTAAAGAGGAGTCCAGCAGCACCCCCAAATTCCTAACCCTCGGCGCTGGTACCAAAGGTACCCCATCGAAGGTTGGGAGAGGCAGCCCCAACCCTGAACCGATCTGACTCAGGCCCAGGACCTCCGTCTTCGCCGGGTTTAGTTTCAGCCAACTCAGTCTGAGCCAACCAGCCACGGCCTGCAACGCCCGATGAAGGTCATCAGTACCGGAGTCCGACTGGCCACCCAACATCAGATAGAGCTGGGTGTCATCTGCATATTGATGACACCCAAGGCCCCCCCCCCAAGGCCATAGCCCGAGGGGGCGCATATAGATGTTCTTTACTTGAACAATACTGTCTTTATTTTTTTCAGATATGGCAGAACTTTCTGATTCTTTCCCAGTTGCCATGAGATCATTTATAGCACAAAATCTAGGTGTAGGATCATGCTGTACTTGCAACCTTGGGGCCATGCAAACAGCTCTTCCATGGTTGTGCAGTGGCACAGGGCTGCTGTCACTCTGACAGCATTCCATTCCCCAGTACATCTTTACTTCTGGGTCAAGGAATGGAAAGGCTGCATGAAATCACTCAATTAATTGAGGACTCAAAGTTTCAGAGCAGCCATAATCAATAGTATGCTGCATAAAACAAAATGTTTTGCCCCGTAATAACAATAAGTTTTATTGTAGGGACAGAGGTTTGACTATGCTTCCTATTTTCAGGTTTGTATAGGAATGACTTATAGATTTAATCCTTTACACTTAACTATATTTGTAGTAATAGGTAACATGCCTACACTCCTGGTGGAACTGCCTGGCCTCTGTCAGCTTCAAAGGATAATAAATTAGCTGAATTAGCAAGGAGTCCTTTCACTCCTGAGAAGTGAAAATGGCCCAGGAGCAAGCCTAAATGAATGACCCCCTGCTATGCTACAAGCTACTCAGCTCAGTGGCACCAACAATGGGCATCATCCCTCAAACTGGAAGCAGTGCAAGGGGGAACAGTTGGTGAGTTGACACAGACTGCCATGGCTGGTGAGGGGTCTGGGCCAAGCAGCTCCTGAGGCCTGAGCAGAGTTTTTGGGGCTTGGAACCAATGTTCCCTTTAAGCTGTGGAGTCTTGTGAGCAAAAATTCTACTTTGTGAGCTACTGGCATTAAAGTTGTGAGCTGGCAATTTGGCTCCTGCATCAATTAGTTTGCTCTGGAGCCATCCTTCCTGAGCTAAGACAAAAAGGAGTGAGCTGGAGGCTAAAAAACTGTGAGCTAGCTCACACTAACTCAGCTTAGAGGGAACAGTGCTTGGAACTGCTTGCTCCTGGCCATCGCAGCATTATAAGGCAGTGGCCCACCAGGAAACTTCCCTGTAAGTTTAATGGCCAGTCTACTCCTGTCTAAAATACTCCATTTTCCAGGTGTCTGAGAATGAAAGAAACTGTGTGGAAAGAAGTAAATGCTGACAAGGATCAGAGTGTACCTATTGTCCCAGTGTTTTCCATATTCTAAGGACTTTTATTTAGCAGATCAACTAGCACTTTGCAGGACTAATTCTTGGATACTTCAGGCAAAAATTAGGATTCCCCCCAAGAGCTGCTTTCTGAAGGGGGTGGGCTCCAGGCCACTAGCAAGACCAGTTGCTGTCTAACTTTTTCATCCTTGATCTGCCAGTTGAGAAGTCAGTTGATGACTCGGGGCTGCCACCAGTGTTCCCTCTAAGCTGAGTTAGTGTGAGCTAGCTCATAGTTTTTTAGCCCCCAGCTCACAGATTTTTGTCTTAGCTCAGGAAGGATGGCTCCAGAGCAAACTTAATTTATGCAGTAGCCAAATCCCTCGCTTACAGCTTTAGTGCCAGTAGCTCACAAAGTAGCATTTTTGCTCACAAGACTTCACGGCTTAGAGGGAGCATTGGCTGCCACTTATCCCTTATTCTTATATAGTCAATGGTTCTTTAAACCATGCCACTCTTTTTTAATGAGAAATGACAACTGAGTAGGCAGTTGTCACACAAAGAGGAGAGGATGCAACTCATCTGATCACAGTTTGAAGTGAAGGCATTACATTTTTATAGTCCAGCGGAGGCAATAGTACTATTGGATTCAACATATATATGTGGGTGGGGAAAACCTAAAAAAGAAGCCCAACATTTAACCAAGAAGATGTCCTGGCCACCAGATGGTAGGCAAGTCACAGTAACCACAAGGCCTTACAGCAGGGGTTCTGGATCACAGTCCAAAAGTCACAATGCAGTGGCCAGTAACACAGTCACAGGCAAAGTCAGAAGGCAGTCAAGGGTCAGGTTCCATATTTCAAAGGCAGAGTCGAAAGCAAGCTGATCCTGCACTGACTGTGGCCTCTCTGCAGCCTTATATAAGGAGTTTCCCTGTAGGTGCCACTGGTTCCCACATTAGTCTCTTCCCTACAAACTGTCAGCTCCTCTACTCATGAGGAATACTGGGGTCCAGATCCTGTGGAGACTTATCAGTCTCTTCTAGTATTTCCTTAGCAGAGGGGAGGTTGCAAGCTACCAGGCACACACTCCTGTGGCTGGTCCATGCCTCAGCCCATACCCATTTTCTCCTCTGCTTCTGGGGTATTTCAGAAGACTGTGGTGGATCTGGTCACAGGGGGGTCCATAATACTGGGGCCTCCAGGTCTGAGGGCCCTGCTGGTTCAGGGTCCCTTCAGGAAAGCTCTGACATCCCAACCTCACAGCGCAGGGCTCTTTTTGTAGCAGGAGCTCCTTTGCATATTAGACGACATACCCCTAATGTAGCCAATCCTCCAAGAGCTTACAGAGCTCTTCTTACAGGGGCTACTGTAAGCTCTAGGAGGATTGGCTACATTAGGGGTGTGTCGCCTAATATGCAAAGGAGCTCCTGCTACTGAGTCCGAGGGATCTATCAAGGATGGGCTTGGAGTTGGTTTGTCCTCCTCTTCCTCTGATGAGGACTTATCCTCTCATGCTGCACCATGGCAGTCCAAATTTCAAACAACAAGAAAGTGACTGATTTAGAATGGGTCTTTTTTCACTGTGATAGAGAAACCTCCTGTTGGATACATTTTGATTCCCTAAGTATCTATAAATAATAAAAACATAGGCTCCATGAATGATTATCATAAGAGCATACTGGATTGATTTAATCTGGAAAGCTCCAAAAGTGCTCCTGGACATTGCCTCATCTATTGTATTTGAAACACAATAATAAGTGCCACACTGGGCAGCCACATACCTGTTGTCTCTTCATACACAATACACATTCTATACCCGATGAGATCATGGATGGATAAGCCTACTGTAAGTGTTGGGTATTACAAGTTGAAAACACTCAGTATATCTGGGGTTAAATGTTTGTTTATGTTACTCACAGGAAGTCACATGTTTCTCATGTAACCAATGTTCTTTAGATGTAGGAAGCCCGGGACTTTTCTCCTTGATCTAGGGATTTGATTGGGACTAAAGTGTCAAGGTGTATTACCATTTTATGGCTTCTCTTCCTGTCTTTGTTTTGGTGTTCTGAAGAAGAAGGAGAGCAGCCATTCTCTCTTCTAGTTTTGTCTTTGTAGTGTAAGGATGTAGCCGATTATGCTCTTTTGTTATTTTCATCCCAGTTACCCTTCCCATGCTAGAATTTAGTAAAAACTTTATATTTTAATCACACATGGACTCTCAGTCTGAATTATTTTACTCAGGCTCTGCTGGGCTATATTATCTCTGCTAAATACCATTTTTTCAATATCTCATTATCACCCAACAATAAGGCATTCCTAAACAGAGTTACACCATTCTACACTGATGATGCCCAGCTATACATTACCCTAATCAGCCACTGGCTGCTACTGTCTCTGTCCTGGCCCAGTGTGCGAATGAGGTGGTCAAGTGGCTAAGGGAGAACGAACTGAAGCTGAATCCAGATAAGACAGGGAGATGCTGGTTAGAAGGGCCATTGCTTTGTTCTTCCTGTTATCGATGCTGTGTACCTTTTTTCTGAAAGTCTCTGTCAAGAGCTTGGGAGTCTGATCTCCTGTTAGAAAAACAGGCTCCATGACAGCAAAAAAAAAAAAAAAAAGCTCCCTCCCAGCTATATCTAATTAGAATGCTTGATCCCTATTTGCACATTTTTTATCTGACCATGCTGATCCATGCTACAGTAACCTCAAGGTTAGATTACTGTAACACGTTCTACATGGGGTTGCCTTTGAAGATGATCCAGAAACTGCAATGAGTGAAAAAAGTCAGCTCATGTGTTATCTAAGGCTAGCTGATGGGTCCGTGTCACTCTGTATTCTGAAGTCCTTTCATTTGCTGATTAGTTTCTAGGTCCAATTCAAGGTACTGGTGCTCTCCTTTACAGTGCTACATACTTTACAGCCCACATACTTGAAGGGATGCCTTTCCCTGTATGTTCCCATGCACCACCTCTATTCTGCTCAGCAAAGTCTATTATCAGTTCCTCCATCATCTAAGGCATCTTTTGTCACAGTCAAGGCTTGGGCTTTTTCAGTGGCACCCCATAACTTTGGAATAGCTCCTGTCCTCCTTACTTCACAGTGAGGATGCCAAACAGAGTTGATGCAGAATGCTTTCGGGATAACTTAAACCTGGGCAAAGGTGAAATACATTTCTGACTGGGCATAAATTAGTTTTAATTTAGCTTTTAATGTGTTGTTTTAATGTTTAATTTAAATGTTATTAAATTGCTTTGTATTGTTTTTCTATTGTTGTTTTTCATCTCATCCTAGATTGGCTGGAACAAAAGTGGGTATATAAATGTTTTAAGAAAATAAGTAAAGACTGACTTCAAAGGGCTTAGATATTGCACTGCTAAAGTGGTGATAATTAATTAACACTTTGGCCCTAATAGTCAGTTAGATCTTTAGACTGCCCAATCTCCAATTAGTACTCAACACATATCTGAAAGGGCCAACTTCAAAGCAAACTTCCCCAATGGGTAGTTCCAAATCTGCAAATAATGTTAGACCAGACCACAGTCCAGAGTAGATCAGAGTAGACAGCAATAAAAAGATCAACTAAAAAAAATCATTTTGAAAATGAGAGGATTTTCCTATTAAATGGTATCAGAATGTGTAATCAGAGTGTGATTGAGAATATATTGATTTGACCTATAAAACTGCCATCTATACAGTGTCAGGCCAGAGAAGTTACAATTATGTTCCTCTTTTGTTTTCTAAATTGCCATTATTTTAGATATTTTTACCAACAAACATACTTTTTTTGATTTTGTAATAATACCCCAGTTGCCTGGATGCTGCAGTAATGCTTACAGGTCTAGGAGTGGTTGCTGGGCAAATCGAAGGACCTGACCTGTTTTGTGGGGTTGTGTTTTGTGTGTGTGTGTGTGTGTGTGTGTTTGTCATATAATTCTAAGCAATCTCTACAAAAGTAACCTGTACTCAGAAGAGGAAAAGGTTCATTTGGGTATGTGGCATCACAGTAATGTGCTGAAGCCCAGAGGATGATTTTTTAGGCAGAACCTACAGCAAGCTTTGTAAGAGGAAGTGGTCCAGCTCCTTCATTTAGACTCAACAGGTTCATGACACAGTCACTGAATATTTTAGACTTTGTATTGAGTCCCCCTTGGGGGATCTCCTTCCCCTGTCTGACTACATGCATGCTCTCATGCAGAAATAATAAAGTATGGTATAGTCCTCCAAAAATGACTGTGCACTTTGTGCAGCAAATAGGAAACAAGTAAACATCCATTGGACTGCACAGAAAGTTCCTTAAAGGCACTATCAGGAAGATCAAATCCTGTTAGGCAGTCCAAAGGTGGCTTTAAAACACCACAAGACAAGCCTAAATCATGCAAAATAGCTCTGACAGGGACAAGAGGCTGAAAACACTGATAAATAGAGATTCAAGGAAGCTATGAAATACAAAGAGGAAATCTTAAATAACATCTACCCCAAAGAACACAGGATCTGCCAGATTAAATGTATCTAACCAATCCAGGAGGTATTTGGAAGAATAAATCTCTAGAAATATTTTTTTTAAACCCAACAACAATAAAAAGTCTTCTGTTCATCAGTAGCATACAGATACCTAGAACTGTCCACTAAAATATATAGACAAACACAAGGGATCACAGTTATCCTTACAGAAAATACAACAAAAAACAGACACACTGATGTGATGGCAGAAACATTTAGTAAATCTTTGCATGCTAAAACATTTTATAGGATTGTTATTGATAAATTCTTTATAATATTGCAAGGAAAAGTCCATTCATTTCTCTAAGCAAGGAAAAGTCCATTCATCTCTCAATGAGTACCTGGATTTAGGTTCATTTCGTCCCAGTTCTTCCTCAGGAGTAATCCTATTCTCTTCAGAGTTATCAGCCTCTTGATATAGCTCAGTACTTTGTTGGGGACACCTTAACTTCTTTTCTACACAGATGCAAAAACCTTCTCAGTTAGGCTGGCGCACTGCTCTCTACAAGCCTCAAGAGTATAATTTCTTCAAATTGTTATCCTGGAAAAAAAACCCATGGTAATTTAGAAAGAAAAACAACATGAAGCTGAATGGAATGTTATTTGATATTCTTTCAAACTTACCTGTAGTCACATTAAAAGTGTTTAAATTCGGAGCAAGCCAGTCTTGTCTTCTCTAACAGGTGCACAAAGCCTCCATGATTTTGCTGGCTTAAAAGTTCTTCATTAACACTGTATTAAAATTCCATCTTGGGGTTGAGAGCCTTTTGCCAGGCAAATATAAAATTTAGAAGGGTTTTAGCCGGTTAGAAAAGAAGGACTGGTTTGCTCCTAATATAATATAGTGCTCTCCTGAAGGGTGGCCAGGGCAGGCAATGTCACAGCAGAAGCTACCAATCAACAGCCTTCTCTGCTCCCTTTACAGTTAGTCAGCCTACACAAGGGTTGCCAGCTCCAGGTTGGGAGATACCTGGAGGTTTTTGTGGGTGGAGCCTGAGGAGAGCAAGGTTTGGGGAGGGGAGGGACTTCAGTGGAGTACAAGGCCATAGAGTCCACCTTCCAAAGTGGCCATTTTCTCTACCTGCTCTCTGTCGCCTGGAGGTCAACTGTAATAGTGGGAGATCTCCAGCCTCTACCTTGTGGTTGGCAACCCTAACATGCACAAGGCAGCCTCCTTAACTCTGCCCCCCTCCAGCCACTCATTTCTTTTCTTAAGCGGGGGTGGTGCAAAAATCATTGCCTGCTCCAAGGGAGGAAAAAGATGGGAAACAATGCAAATTAAGCCACTTTGCATGAGTTCTGATCATCACGAGGGACAAGGAACTATGCAGTGCACTGAAGCCCCCTCCCTCTGATCACCCCTTGTCCTACTGAGGCACCTCCTGGCTTCAGAAATGTCATGAGACAGGGCCCCTGAACATCTAGATCTATCTTTAAAGTTACGGGGGCTAGAATTGCACTGAGACCATCAGAGAGCTGGTTTGCAGACAGTTCCGCATTTTGCACTTGTGCAGAAACACCAAATTCCCACACATCCCTGAGTGTACTTTGGCCAGAAATTTGAGAGTACCAATGAGGCATGGATCTCACCATCAGATTTGCTTTTATCCTTTATTTATACACCTATGTCAGCGTGTGTTGCATTTTGCAAAGTACAAAAGACAGGTCTCTGCCTCAAGGAACTGATGGACTAAAATCTGACAAAAAGGAGACAACAGAGAGAGGGAGGGAGGGAGGGAGATGGAAGGTAGGATAAAGAGAAGAATACATCTTAATTCCCGCTCAGTGTGTTTAGGCTTTGTTTCAGTAGGGAGGGGAGGACAACCTTTGGACATGCCTGCTATATCTGGTTGGCCAGTGCTGGCCTACAGAATGCTGAGCCAACCGCTGCTTTGATTCAGCACAGTCTTATGTAGAGGAAGGGAGACATGTTCCATTCTTACTGGATTCCCAACAAAGTGTATGAAACAGTTTGAATATACTTTCCCAGTACAGACAGATGTGTTGGATGCAGCTTTGAAGAGCAGGATAAAAATGTAAAAGTCATATAGAAAAGGAATGCATCATCATCATCAGGATTCTGTCCTTCTTGGTGAAGGCTGGACATGCTTAGGATCTCATGGACAGTCCAACTTTTCTACTGTAAGCAGGCTTGCATCCTTCTAATGGAGGGTGTGCCTCTAGGATCACACTGTTAATGGCTTCTTAAGCTCTCAGGGTCTCATGGACCCTTCCTTCTACAAAGTGCTCTTAGCTTTAAAGGGGAGGGGAAACCTAACATCCAGTAGGAAGTACCAACTCTGTTTTGAATTAAGTATTTTCCTCCTCTTTCCTAGCAGGGGATAAATCTGGAAACGAACACGAAGAAGCAAAGCTTCAGAATGCCAGCAAGCAGATAGTGCACACCGCCATTCAGCAGGCCGTAAAACAGCTCTCCCAGGAGAACCAGCAAAAGGCCAAGGGAACAAACAGCAGCGTCAGCCTGCAGCTCGAAAGAGGGGAATTAACCAAGAAGCACGAAAAAAAGTAAAAGGCCACCAGGGCTGCTCTTGGATCGTCCAGTCTGTTGCCTTCTTCTTAGTATCTGCTGTCTCACTGAGACACCATTACTACAGAAAAGAACAAACCAAAGTGTAATCAGCACATAGATGTATACAACTGCAATAGTCTGCAACTGAGAAATAGGGTTTTAAGTGCATTAGGTAATGTAACAATATTTATGCAGTGCCTCTTAACATGTAACGAAACAATGCTGCGGCTACTGAAGTTGTGTCAAATGCAAGCCTTTTGTAGAGTACAATTCTAGATTCAGAACATGTACCTGTATTCTTCTGCACATCATCAGTGTCTATTTGGCTAGCAGAAATCTTTCCTAGGAATCCATCACACAGTGACACACAAAGTTGGAAAATATACTTTAAGGTTCCTCAAAGAGGAGTCAAAAGACAGCAATACAATTGGTACCAAAACTATCCATGAACGAGCCTTTCATAACTAGGTGGGCCATAATCCAATACAGAGTTAAACATGCTTTAACCCACTGATTTCACTTCTTACTCTTTTAACCAGCACTCCAGGTTGGGAACTGAATGGTGCAAAGAAAGTTAGGTGCCACTAAGTCCCATTATAATCAATGAAACCTAAAAAGCTTTAGCCCTGCAATTAAATTAAGAACATGAGATGTGGATAAGACCAGTAGTCCATCTAGTCCACCATCCTGTTTCACCCAGTGACCAACCAGTGGCCAACAGGGCACAGAGGCCAAACCATCCACCTGATACTGCCTCCTAACACTGGAATTCAGAGCTTTGCTGCCTTTGTATATGGAGGTTCCCTTTAGTCACCATGGCTCATAGCCACTGATGAACTTTTCTTTGTGAATATGGTTAATCCCCTTTAAAGCCATCCATGTTCATGGGAATTGTTACATCCACTGGCAGTGCATTTCACAATTCAGTTACTCATTGAGCGAAGAAGTACTCCCTTTCCATATCTTTCAGTCGTTAAGAACATGAAACATTCTGCTCTTTACTAGATTGCGTATCTCTGTGTCTAATGTTAATTCCTCTGTTCACATGCATTTAGATTTATAGTTGCTTAGTACCGTAGGAGTTTCTAGCACATAAAATGTCAGTAGCATTATACACCTGCACAGTGAGCAATGTCCGTTCATCTCAGTGAGGCTTGTGTTAGAAAGATTCACAGCGGACTTTGCCCCACACAGACATTGTTGGGTTGATCTAGAGCCAATTTGCCCACTTGAAAGTATTGGCTTCAGTCAAGTAACTCCAAAGTGTACATGGAGTTCCACGCATGAAGTGTTTTCTCTTCCCATGAACACATGAACTCTCCTTCTGTGCTGTGAGAAATCTCATGAAGATAATGGGAAGCCAATGCATGCACTTTGGATTTTGCTCATTATATACAAGAAAAATAATCCAAAGGGGAAGTGGAGATCTTTGGCTTCCTATGTTGAGCTCTGTATATTCTTTCAATCCACAAAAACCTCCCAGACTGTGTTTTATGTCCTTATATACATTCCTTGCTTAAAGACAACTATATATTAAAGTATCACTTCAAAATCTGCTTGATGGTTTCAGAATAAATAAATATAAAGAAAAGCTTGATATTAATTATGGCTTAACATTCACAGTTATGTTTTTTTTAAAAAAATGTTGTTTGGTTTCATGCTGAGATTCGTGATGACCTGGTTTCAAATTGGGTTTTATTGCTCAAAATACAGAAGTATACAGTATTGTTTAAATTATGTCTGTTGCACCGCCAATCTTTGACAACTGCAGAATATACTGATCACATATATAACTCATAGAGGAAAGTATAATTGTTGTATTGCATGTGTCTTATTCAGCTAGAGCACCACATTAGGGATAATGATTTCTTCTGCAAACTACAAATAAAGCTCTGATCTGTAAATTGTACACTTGGAAAAGAAAGGCAACAAAGTCGGAAGAATTTGAATCACAGTGATATTTCTGAAACAATCTTGAATCTACAGAAGGCTTGTACTGTGCATATGTATTGGATGTCCTTCCCTTTCTGCTCGATCACGTTTTCTTGGGTCTACAGAAAGCAGACACTCTGGTGCCGGTGGAGGACTAACTTAATGGTACTCAGCATATTCTACATGGTAATATAGACGTTATAGATGCTAGGAAAAGTTGAAGGCAGCAGGAAAAGAGGAAGACCCAACATGAGATGGATTGACTCAATCAAGGAGACCACAACCCTCGGTTTTCAAGACCTCCGAGTGGCTGTTGATGATGGGACATTTTGGAGGACATTGGTTCATGGGGTCACCATAGGTCCAAAGCAACTTGATGGCACTTAACACACACACACACACACACACACACACACACACCATATAGATATGGATGGGGATGGTAATATCTGGGAACTGCCCTCACAGAATCCCACGTGCAAGTGTATTTTGATTCTTGATGTGGAAATGTATGTATGTGTTTTAAAGTATCAGAGGGTTTTATATTAAGAGAAGATGGTCTGAAATATTTACAGTGTCTGGATGTGTCTCACAGCATCCAGTGAACAGCTTCTTGTGGAAAACGTATAAGAAATTCATCCCAACAATTATCTAAAACAGTTGCCATAATCTTATGAATGAGGAACAAAAGTCTCTCACAGACAGCATTAAGAAATTTGTGCTCAGTAGAGGAAGGTTCACTCCCACCCACAGTGAAAGTCAGAGGTACCTCCTTCTCCCCAACACTTCACTTTTCACAGCTATGTCAGACTTTGATTATTTCTAGATTTCTGTGGCAGGAAATCTGTTGTATCTTTGGTATTTTTAAACAGTATGCTTTGGGGCAGAATACTTTATATCAGCCCTGCTAGCTTTAAGAGACTTAACGGAAGTTTGGTGTCATTGTGATCCATCGCTATGCACGATGCTTCTAGGCACTAGCTGCAGCTGAATTCACCTGAAGGACTCCATAGTGTTCTAGGCCCAAAGACACCCCAAGATTAGTGCTTTGTTATTTGATCACACCAATCTAAGTGTTGCCTTGCATCTTCCACATAATTCTTGAAAATAAACAACTCTGGGTTAAGTACAGAGATAGCTCAGATTTTGTCTGCTATTTCCACAACACAATAGAAGCTGTGGGATATTTGTCTGACATGCAGCTGTTAAATTATAGGGCCAGTGACTTTTTAAAAAGAATCTGTTTATTTATTTAAGAAGACAGTGGGGGTACAGAAAAGAAATGGGAAAGGGGATATACAATGCAATTGCATCTTTCAAGGACAATCAATACAAAATGTATAAGACAGAAGATAGTTTTTCTTACATCCCCTCATTATAATTTTTAATGTATTATCTATAATATATTTCTATTGGAATATGATTGTATTCAACGTTTTTAAGTTTAAGTGTCAGACTTCATAGTTAATCAGTTTTGACTACATCATTAGTTTCATCATTGCTACATATTCAATATTACATATTTTCACCTCTTTAGGTGAAAATTCATTCATTAGGAACTTTAACAGATAAAAAAGATATCAAGGTGCAAAGGAATGTCTATTAGATATCTCATATCAAGAACCCATTTGTATTCAAGATGTTACATTTAAAGATTTTAATTTTAATTCTACTTCTATCTCATTATTATACATTTGTATATAATATTTGAAACTGCTTAAGGACAGTGACTTTAACAGCTTCAAAACATACGGAAATTCAACACATCATTTCTGACCTTAGCAGCTGACCCATTCCTCAGGTGAGATATTAGGTCAAGCATAATTGTTTCACCTATGGTTAAGTGCTGTTATAGCTGCTGCGGTAATCTACAGCAGGGGAAGGTAGACTTTAAGTTTCTAGGAGATAGTTCATTCCCCCCCTCCGAGAGCCATGATAGCTTCAAGCCACAAAATGGTAGCTTGGTTGGGGCAGCCACTCACAAAATGTCAGCTTGGTGCAAGGGCTCATGTAGAAAGGATGAAGATGAAGGGTAGATAGGAAAGGGTGCTGTTGCTGTCATTGCCAAATCCAGTGCAAAGGTGCATGTGTTTCCTTCTACTTCAAATGAAGGAGAAAGAGGAGAGGAGCTGATCTGGTAGCTGTAAAGGGAGAGATAAAAAAATTGTTATGTCAGCCAATGGAGGAGGGATGGAGAGCCACTTTCAACAGCTTGGAGAGAAACTGGTCACTTCAAAGTCACTCTCTGCTCTCCCTGATCCTCATAATACCATCTAACAGTTTTAATGGTCGAGCTGTCAGCCACAATGAGAATCTGGTTGGTGGGGGAAGACTGCTACATCACTTCCAGGGAAAACCCAGGAGGGATGTCACACCTTCCTAGGAATCTCTGGAAACTCTATGTGTCCCGGTTCTTGGGTCCCGGGACTTAACCCACACACCCCAGGGACCCCAACGACTTCCAACTCACCCAGTAGACCCACAGATCAAGAAGACCTCGCAACGCCAGACCCCGTCAGCATAGCTGAGGCACAACAGTCCGGACCAGTCCAACCGTGAAACGAAGAGTCTCAAGGAGCAGCAGGAGAGGCCGACGGTGCCAGGGAGAGGCTGACAGTGAACACACAAACACATGAGACCCCACACGTCGGCATAGCTCCGACCACACCCAGGCCATAGGGACGGTGTTGGGATTCTTAATTCAGGGTCAATGGTTGTATTGCAAACACAAAAGCCACACTTAGTAAAAGAAAAATATCTTTACTATAAAAACAAAATAAAACATGGGTATGGTACTTTGGATAAAAGAAATAAAATAACAAGTTACATACTTAGTTACTCTCAGTAATAAATGCTAATCTCTTGGCTTCTAGAAGAGAACTACCTCTTTGGTTCACACAAAGGGCCATAAACTTGTGGATACATTAATACTAGATCAAAGCATTTCTGCAAACAAGTTGTTAGTTGACCAATACAAAGGTTACAGGTCACTTCATTAGGATAAATAACTCCCATAAACTTTCCCGCCGTTGAATATATTATGTAACGTAACATCCTGTTTGCTAACA